AGAGAGAGAGAGAGAGAGAGAGAGAGAGAGGATCTTGCTTTGCTTTGTTGCCCAGGCTGGTCTCGAACTCCTGGACTCAAGTGATCTTCCCACCTTGGCCTCCCCAAAGTGCTGGGATTACAGGCATGAGCCACTAAGTCCAGCCACTTTTGTGACCTTTTATAAGGAGAAACTTTTAATACACCGCTCTCAGAAACCACAACTACCAGACAACAATTATGAAAAATGAAATGATCAACAAAATCAACAAGCTTATCTTAACTGTTGCAAGATAAGTGTTTTGAGAGTAAATTCAGTCAGAACAAAAGTTATATTGCAAAAAGATAGGAAGAATAATCAAGTGAGAGGTGCTAGCATCAACTGAGAAAAGAGCAAGGAAGAATAGTAAACACAATAGAGGTATAAATAAAACAGAGAGGCTTGGACCAACCACTAAAGAAAGGAATAGAGTTTTAACTAGAGGGATTAAGGGAATTGTTAGATGGAGTCCCAGCTGAGGTGGGAAAGAAGGGATTTACAATGGATGTCACTTGATTATTGCAATAATGCAGTCAAAAAGGTGACAAGATTCTGAATTCAAGCAACAGTATTACAATGGAGAAGGGGGTTTCTTGATCATTTTCAAAGTAGGGAAAATAAAACAATAAAATACAAAACTTGGTGACAGCCAAGAATGTGGTATTCAGAGGCATATGGAGAATGCCATTTGTGAATATGAGAAAACTGGGAAGGGGCCAATTTGAGAGAAAAATGAAAATTTTTTGAATTTACAGGGTGAGAAACAAGGAAATTCAAAGGGAAATGTACACAGACTGTGGATTTATGTGTGGAGCTATGAGCACAGTGGCAGCTGAAACCATAAGATTGAATGGATCTACTAAAAGACAGTTTACTGTAATAATACAAGAGAATTTGGGGATCAGAGAAGCTGATAAAACCTCTTTCTTCCTGGAAAAATGGTTACCTGCAAATACACACTACAGTTTTCTTGGCATTTCAGGATATTCACAGACCTATTAAAGTATGTCTTGAATTTCAAATATGAAAACACTGGTTTAGAGAGAACAATGTGAGTACAGCATTAAGTGCCACCCAGAAAGTTGGGGGGGGGGAAGACTAGCAAGGAAACAAAAGAGCATACGAGAAAAGATACCCCCCCCAAATTATGGAAATCAATACAGGAGCAAGTTTTTTAAAATAATAGATATTGAACAGAATAAAATACTGGAGGGCCAGGAGAACGTGAGACAAATATTAGGACTGAGACATGACAGGACAGGAAGGTATGTAAGGCTAAGAGTTCTAACTCTGACCTTTTACAAATGTATGTTCCACAAGTGAAGTAACAGGCGGTTTCAGCACAATTCCTGTCTTGACTCGGGGGAAAAAACAACTCAAAGTACACGCTGTTCTTGTATCAACTTTGTATGTGAAACAAGTGAATATATAAATAGTGAACTGATCACTCATTAAAAGGACTTACCTGCAAGATTTTAATTTAGATTTGACACAGTAAAGATCAACACTTAAGAAAAGGTTTGATTAATACAAATTACAAAATAACATGTTCTTATACTAAAAGTACAACTGATTTGCATAAGCAATTTACCAAAATAGCTACAACAAGCTTGACACAACTGCCTCAAAGAAGACTTAAGCTCTCAGATCACAGTAATAACTTTTAAAACATCTTTGATTTAAAAATTTTTAATATGTCACCGTTAAACAGCATTTTCTTAAGACTGAACTATACTTTTGTATTTTTGAAATCTCAACAATTAGGACTGCCGAATCAGGATACAATTGCTATTGGAAATAGAAACAGTACTTTAAACGTAATTATGTGATAGCTCCTATGTCACACTTATAAATTTTTTCTAGGTGTCACCACTTTTCTTTAAAGTGATCACTGTATTGGGCTTGGAAACCAGGTTCCTCCTAGCATAATGACACAAATGACACACGGATAGGAAGCACTGCAACACAATGATTCATACATCTTCAGCTTGCAAAAAGCACACACCTGAATCCATTTAAGCAACAGCAGTCAGGCACAGAATAAAACGCGGATGGGATTAAAAAGAAATCACAGATTTAAGAAAGAAAGAAAGAAAGAAAGAAAAAACCCAGCAGTAGAATCATCAGACAGGCAAGAATCATGTAGAATAGGAAGACCGTTTTGAAAGTCATCAGTTAACTGCAGAACACTACAGTCCAGGGGAAAGCAGACGGACTCTGGGAAACTGGGCTGGGAGTCAAGGAGATGGGACCGGAGGAGCAGGGCGGGACCGGAGAAACCAAAACAGCTTACGCTTCTGAGGCAGCCAAACCGGCGGGGGCGGCGGGGGCCGCGCACCCATCAGCTCAGCACCCGCCGGCTCCTTTCAGGGCTCGGCCTCCTTCTGCGGCCGTCGTCCCGGGACCTCCCCAAGCCCTGCGTCTCCCCTCCTCCTACTCTGGACGCGCTCTCAGAAGACAGATAGGAAGACCTGGAGGGCCGGACAAGTGTCCGGAGCGATCAGCCTGTCTCCTGTCGTCCCACCCGTATCGTCTCGCGGCCACTTACCGGGATGCAGGCCCGATAATTCGGGTGGTAGCGGCGACTCGATTCTTCCCGGCATTGACGTCCACTCCGGCCAGCCAGCATCAGCTGAGCTTCCAACACAAATACAGGCGCAGCAGCCAGGGTGCCGCCCCCTCAGCCCCGCCCCTCTCCCAGCGGAAGTGACGCACGGATCGTTCGAGTCTACCCGCCGGCAGGGATAGGGTTCCTCCACCGCTCTCTGTCCTCTGTCTCCCAGTCAATCGCCACTCGGCCGTCTCCCCGGGGCATGCGCACTAGAGCCCGACGGAGCGCGAGGCGGGAGGCCCGCGGGGGACGTGCGTGCGTGCACACGCGTGCGGGCGTGCAGAGAGGCGTGGCTTGCTAGAGGGGTGGGTCCTGCGTTTATGTCCTTTCTAGAGTGACTGGGCGGAGGGAGTTTGTTTTTGTCCGGTGGCCGGACGTGGGAGCGGAGTCCAGGCTTGCTCGTTTGCGGGCGTCCATTCCCTTTCAGCAGAGAGAAGCCTCCATCTCCACGTCCCCGAAGGGGGCGCCCCCTGTCCCGCCCTCGGAGCCCGAGCTGCGGTATCAGCCGCCTAGAGGGCGGTGAACGGGACCGCCGGCCCTCCCGCAGGGCTGTCACCGTTCTTGGTGACGCCTTCTCTATATCCCTCCCCGGGCATGGCCATCCACATTAAATGTCACTCAGAAGCGCCTTCACGTTTATTACCGTATTGGAAGTCAGCATGCACTGCCCCACAAATGGTCCCACACTTAACCCATCTTTTTCGGATTCTGACATTTTTATCTTTACCAGGTTGGCAGGTTCCCCTCAGGGCAAGTCCGGCCCACTGCGTGTTTTGCTGTGAGTTAAGACTAGTTTTCACGTTTTTCAAAAGTTAACAGAAAAAATGTTTTGGGCTACATGGCAGTTAGATTATTTTCATATTTCCGTGTCCATTTTTTAAAAAAGCCTATTCTTTACACGTTGTCAGTGGAAGCTTTCATGCTACAGTTGCGAATTTGGGTAATTGCAACTGTTCTTACTCTGTTGAAATGACCCTGCCCTGAAGTTGAGCTCAGGAAAATAGAACCGTAGTCTTAACTAGTTCTCAACCTCAAAATGTTACTAAGACTACTATTAGACTCTCATGCCTTCTTTTCCTGGGTGTCAGCGCTTTAGCCCCTGTAAGATTATTGCGAAGTCCTTAAGGAAAGGAATTGTATGAGCTGCCAAACGTACTGGGTGGCTAGACGGTATTATATTTTTAAAAAAATTTGAGGGGAAGCCAGCTTGCTAGACTCTTGGGACAAGGGGGCTGGGTTGTGTACATCATAATGCCTGGTAAGCCCCAACAGTACATAAGCCAGACATATTATTTAGCTACAATATAGTTTTAAAAAAATGCACAAATTAAGCCTTACAGTTCTTGACTGATATCTTTCCCCATTGTTAAAGAAAAATTATTCTGACACTTGTTAAAATGCAAGGAAGACTATTCACAATTATTGCAATAGGTGTCAACACTATTGCCATATGGGAGAGAGATTCATCTCAAGTTCTAATACAGAAAAGAGTTGGTATTTATAGCCAACAAGCAGTGGTCAGTACACAGAAAATTACTAAGAGGTGACATCAAGGGCTGGAGACATTCTTGTTAAACTAAGATTCTTGTTGAAGGCAGATGGGGCAGTTATCAAGGATGAGAGATTCTCTTTAAACTGATTCAGCAGGATTTTTGCTAAAACTGGACTCAGTAGGCCTAAGACAGTGGCCCAAGGCTGCTGCCTAGTGAAAACAGGGCTCAGAGGAGCCTAAGTAAAGTTTGTTTGAAGAGAGGATGTCACCATCTCCTCTCCCCTTGTGTCCCTTTAATCCTTAATTCAGTCAGACATTGTCAAGTATGCAAATTTTCCTCCTATGTCAAAAATTGTCAAGTAACTCTGAATTCCCCCCTGCTCCTTCCTTGCCCTTCCTCTCCCTCCCTTGTCCACCACCATACCTTTAATCAATCATGAAGTCTGGTGAGTCTTACTGCAGAATCTCTTGAACCTTTCCTCCTCTACATTCTCATTTCCACTGCTTTAGTTTAGGCTTCCATCCTTGCTCCTCCGTCTCATCTGAACTGGTTTTCCAGCCTGTAACTAACCTTCGACACAGATAGTCTCTTCTGTGCAGCCACAGTAATCTTTTCAAAGTGCAGGTCTAATCATGTGTTTTTGCTGATGGAAAAGCTTTTGCTGGTGCTTCATCCCCATCGAACAAACCATATGATATGATAGGCTCTGACCCTGCCGCCTTCTAGCCTTTACTTTTACCACTTGACCCTCACCCCATACCTGTGCTTCCCCAAATACCTTGTGCCTTTCACACTTAGTGCCTTTGCTCTTGCTGTTGGCTTAGTTCCCTTTCACCCTGTCCTCCTACAGATTTGTTTGTCCTTCAGCCAGGAAAATCTTACCTCACTTCTTCATAGAGTAACTTATTCCTTCCACCTGTGCTTACTTTTTCTATTGCACTTGCTTCATGGCAAGGAGTATAACATATCTATATTTGTATCTTCTGGGTCTTGCAAAATACCCAACAAATAGTAGACTTTCAAAAATTCTGTACTATTGAATTGATTTTTAATTTTATTTACCTATCTAATAAATAAAATGTTAAAATGGAAAATAAAACCTATGTATGATTCTTTTGATGTTGGGCAAAGTTTTGAGGAAAAAAGAGAATTTCATTTAATTTCAAACAAAATAAATTTAGTGGCGTGCAAAATACATTATTTGGTGTACTAATAGCAGACTAATGCCACCAGGAAGAAATTCATACGTGGAATAATGCTAAATATAGTAATCGTTCAACCATATATACTTCAGCAGCTAGGTAAAAGAGGCATCCACCTCACTCCTGAATCATTTACTTGCTGTGCTCATCCCAATTATAAAGTTTACTACAGATTTATTTATTTTAGATCTTCCTCTCTTCTATATCCATAGTCACTCCTTCTTTCTAGAAACTGTTAAAGTCTGGTTATTATAGTAACTTCTTCAAAGAAATTCAAACAAAACTTAATATATATATTATATAAATATATATATATAAATTATATATGTTATATATGTAAATATAGCCAAAAATAAATGTTGCCATATTGGTGTAAGATAGTTCTCCAAATCACCCAAGTGAGGGATATACCAGAAAATAACTCTACAAGAATAGTCACCTTGATAGGCAGAATAATGGCCTCCTAAAAGATGTCCAGACCCTAATCTTTGGTACCTGTTAATATGCTATGCTAAGTGGCAAAATGGACTTTTTGTGGTTGTAACTAGGGTTATATTTTTAAGAAATAAAAATTAAGCCAGGCTCCGTAGCTCAGCCTGTAATTCTAGCTCTTTGGGAGACTGAGGTGAGTGGATTGCCTGAGCCTGCGGGTTCAAGACCCTCCTGGGCAACTTGGCGAGACCTCATCTCTACAATAAATCAAAAATTAGCTGGGCGTGGTAGCGCATGCCTGCAGTTCCTGCTACTTGGAAGCCTGAGATGGAAGGATCGCCCCAGCAGGTCGAGGCTGCGGTGTCCGGGAGTGTGCCACTGCACTCCAGTCTGGGTGACAGAGTGAGACTCCAACTCAAAAAAAAAAAAAAAGAAAGAAAAATTATCCTGGATTATCTGTGTGGGCCCAATCTAATCCTATGAGCCCTTAAAAGCAGTAGAACTGCGGCAGAGTAAAGTCAGAGAGGTTCAAGATGGAGGGTGAGGGGAGCAATTTGATAAGGAATACAGGTGGCCTTAAAGAGGCAAAAGAGGCTCTGGGCTGACAGCCAGCAAGGAAATGAAGACCTCAAACCTACAGCCACAAGAAATTGACTTTTGCCAAAAACACAAATAACCTTGAAAGCACATTCTTCCCCAGTGCCGCTGGATAAAAGCCCAACTACCAAGGTTAGCTAACACCTTGGTTTTAGCCCTGTGAGATCTAGAGCAGAGGAACTAGATGACTCTTCCTGGACTTCTGACCTATTCAACTGTGACATAATCAACTTAAGTAGTTTTAAGCCACTCAATTTATAGTATTTTGTTTTCATAGCAATGGGGAAATTAATATAATTACCTTAATATAGTTTGAAGACATGAAGGCAAGAATTTCCTCTGTTTTGATCCTTAGTGCTGAGGCCTGACATTTAGTTGGTATTCAGTAAATATTTAGTGAGTCCATATAGAACAAATTAGATTTATTCATTCAACCTTTATCTAGACAGTGCCTACTATGTGTTTGGCATCGAGCTATTTGCTGGAGGTAAAAACAAAATTGAAGAGCTTTCATGGAACTCAAAGTATAGGCTTAGGTAATTATACCACTAATGTGGAGAGAGTACTAATGGATTTTTGCCGGGTATTATACAAATTTCAACCAGGGATGCATTTGCCCACTTGTGGTATCAGAAAAGGCTTACTGGGGGAAAGGATTTCTGAGTCAAATCTTAGAAGACGTCAGCAAGACAGATGGCATTAGGAAGGTGGTAAAGGTGGGGAGAGAAAGGAGAGCTTTACAGAGAGAAGAAACTTCATGATCAAAAGCAATGTGGTGGGAAACAACATAGCTATTAAGTACTCACCTTGATACATGAAGGAAACTACCTGCTTCATATTGCTGGTACTGAAAATGGGATATAAGGGTTGGAGGAGAGCTAAAGCCGAGCTTGGAATTTATCTTCTAGGTGATCAGAATCACTGTCAGATTTAAAGCAAAAGAGTAATTTAGTCAATTTTAAATAGATTCCTTTTGGCACCATGTGAGGGCAAGATTTGAAGGAGATGAGAAGCCCTGTTGTAATGGTGTTTTCCTATTTAATCACTTAATAAAAAAAATCATTCTTTCTCCACCTTAAAAACTGCCTTATAAAGTGTGCCTATCTATATCAGGCTTGAGACCAGTTTATCCACCTTCCTCCTGGAATTTCCCCAGAGGAGCTAAACCAATGGGAAATAAACCAGTTATATAAAGTAATTTTTCTGGGGGAAGAAAGAATGGTTTTATTAATAGACAAGTTATATCCCAGTTTTTACACAGGAATAGCAACATAAAATTAGGATCTTAAGGACACATAATTATATTTTCTTTAACTTGCTTTGGAATCTGTATACATTTTACCTCTTACCTCATACTTTTGTAAGTTATTCCCTGCCTTACTTAATCATAGAATATCTCAACCAATTAAATGTTCAGAAAAAAATCTTAAAATGTCCCAATATTCCATTTTTTTGTCCATTTCTTATAGGCAAATATAATGTTTGCATTGCTTAACT